GGTCTGGGCGGGGGGGTCTGGACCACGCCTTTCTTCTAACACGCCCTCCGGGGGCCATGCTGGCTGCTTTTTCGGCCCAGGACGGTCCAAGAGACCCCAACGAGGCTCGCGAGACGGCTTAAGGTACCTCCAAGACGGCCCAAGAGACCCAAACGGTCCCAAGACAGCCCAACAGCGCTCCAAAAGGGGCGAAGATGACACCAAGACGGTCCAAGGAGCCCCCCAGACGGCCCAAGAGGCCTTCACGAGGATTTCCAAGAGGGACTCTGGAGGCAAACACCATTGATTTCCCTAAGGCTTTTCGAGGATTTTGGAGTTCCCTCCGAGGTCGCCCAAACCTTCCCCAGAGGCTCCCAAACGGTCCTAGAGCGCTTCAAAACGGCCCAGGAGAGCCCCAAGACGAGCCAAGGAGGGCCCCACACAGGCCCAAGAACCTCCCAGGAGAGAGAGAGAGAGAGAGAGAGAGAGAGAGCCACAGGAGGCTCACAAGAGGGCCCCGAGAGCACCCCAAGCCGGCCCAAGCCCCCCAAGACGGTCCAAGAGGGCCCCAGAAGGCACCCAACCCGCCCGAAAGACCCCCACTAGGCCTCCAAGAGGCACTCCGAGATGCCTCCAAGAGCCTCTTACGAGGCCCCACCAGAGCGAACCGTGCCGTCAAACGCTCTGACTGCCAAGGCTCCTCGGAGCGGACGGTGACATAACAACTCCGATCACCACGGCGGCCGTCTTATCGTGACTCGCATCCCAGCTTGCTCCAACAAACATGCATGGCAATCCCTATGTCCAAATCACTGCCGCGTAACCGACCGCCGAACCCCCGAGACCGTGTGACATATCCGCTCCGCGGACCCGCTCTTTCCGTTCCGGTGCCGGCCCAGGTTCTAACACGCCTTCCGGGGGGCATGTTTGCTGCTGTTTCGGCCCAGGACGGTCCAAGGGACCCCCAAGAGGCCCCCAAGACGGTTTAAGAGATGCCTCCACGACGGCCCAAGAGACTCCCAAGAGGCCTCTCCGTATCCATTTTGGCTCAAGGCTCAATGCATCCTGGTCGAGGCAGACTTGGGGCAGCTTCATCTTATCTGTAATCTAACTACACGCACACGCGAAAACATTTGGCTTGCGGGTCCTTTCCTGTGTTCCGTGGGATGGGGTCCAGAAGGCACCTTGGACCGTGCGGTCCGCGGTTGCACTCGTCCTCAACATCAGCGTACCCACTGCGACCTCGGTCGGTGTGAGTTCCAAGTCGATGATGACGCCCACATTGTTGCGCTGGCAAGCGGCATCGGCGTCACTATCAGTGGTTGTGCTGAGGTGCAGCATTATTGCGAAGATCAGAAGTATGGCAGCACTGTGCAGGCGACCTGCCCTGCAACGTGTGGCCTCTGCAGGGTGGCCAGCCCCAGCAGATCCCAGGCGGCGAAGGTGCTGATGGACACGAGCTCCAGGGGCTCCCGGGGCGCGGATGATCAGCAGTCCTTGGACAAGTCTCTGGCGGCGAAGGGGCCTGACCCGACACCGAGGCCGACGCCGTGGCCGACACCGAGGCCGACGCCGTGGCCGACGCCGTGGCCGACGCCGTGGCCGACGCCGAGGCCGACGCCATACCCGACGCCGACGCCGTACCCGACGCCGAACCCGACGCCGTACCCGAAGCCGTACCCGACGCCGAAGCCGACGCCGAAGCCGACGCCGAACCCGACGCCGAACCCGACGCCACACCCGACGCCGAAGCCGACGCCGTACCCGACGCCGAATCCGACGCCGTACCCGACGCCGAAGTCGACGCCGAGCCCGACGCCGAAGCCGACGCCGAAGCCGACGCCGAACCCGACGCCGAACCCTACGCCCTACCCGACGCCGAATCCGACGCCGAACCCGACGCCAAACCCGACGTCGTACCCGACGCCGTACCCGACGCCGAACTCGACGCCAAACCCGACGCCGAACCCGACGCCGAACCCGACGTCGAACCCGACGCCGAACCCAACGCCGAACCCGACGCCGTACCCGACGCCGTACCCGACGCCGTACCCGACGGCGTACCCGACGCCGTACCCGACGGCCTTCCCGACGCCCTACCCGACGGCCTTCCCGACGCCCTACCCGACGCCCTACCCGACGGTCTTCCCGACGCCCTACCCGACGGCCTTCCCGACGTTGTACCCGACGCCCTTCCCGACGCCTAGCCCGACGCCCAGCCCGACATATCCTTTGGGTTGGCCGACGCCACAACCATCGTTTTCTCCCGCAGCTCCAATGGCGGGCGGAGCTGCCGGAGGCGTGGCTGCCACTGGCGATCCCCACCTTCAAAATGTTCATGGCGAGCGGTTCGATTTAATGCAGGCGGGCAAACATGTTCTGATGCACATCCCTCGTGGAGTCAGCGCTGAAGACGCATTGCTTCGTGTGCAGCCGATGCGCGCCGCTTGGGTGGAAGTTGTTCGGATCTGTATTTCCAATAATTGAACATTACAGGCTCTCGGGCAGAGGCGAAGCAAGTAGGAGGGTACCACTTCGGCGTACGACAAAGAGTTGCGACTATTCCGCAATGGGTTGCTATTGGCCAGGTATAACTGAAAAACGTCCATGGACGCACAGAGCGTGGCATCCTGTACTTCAATGTGCTTGTGAAGCATTTGGGGCGATCAGGGTTTGCCGTCGGAGGTTTGCTGGGGGAAGACGACCATAAGGACGTGATGATTTTCCCGGCGTCTTGTACCAAACACATTTCTTTTGTAGAAGTAGTGACGAGTAGCCAGGCTCCTTCCTCCGAGTCGTCAGTCGCAACGGCAACCTTCGCGTGAGCCCCTTCGGGCGACGCATGCGGTAGTGCTCTCCTGTTCCATTGGGAAAAAAGACGCCTAAGAGGCCCCAAGACAGCCCAAGAGCGCTCCAAAAGGGGCGAATACGCCCAAGACGGTCCAAGAAGCCCCCCAGACGGCCCAAGAGGCCCCCACGAGGATTTCCAAGAGGGACTCCGAATTCCTTGTGGGGTCAGGAACCGTGCGATCGGTGTGCCGAAATGGACATGCGGCGGGCGGGGTGGGCGCATCTGACCTCTGCCACTGGAGCCTTCGGTGGGGCTCCCTATCGGGCCACAAACCGTGTGAGGGGTGCGCTGAAATGGACATGTGGCGGGCGGGGTGGGCGCATGTGAACTTTTCCGCTGGGGCCTTCGGTGGAGCTCCCTATGGGGCCACGAACCTTGGGAGGAGTGTGCCGAAATGGACGTGTGGTTGGCGGGGTGGGCGCATGTGAACTCTGCCACTGAGGCCTTCGGTGGAGCTCTCTATGGGGCCACGAACCGTGTGAGGGGTGTGAGAGGAATGGGAAAGGAGGGAGGGGTGAGGGGTGTCCTTCGTGTGAGGGGGAGTGAGAGCAGAGGCAAGGGTGAGAGGAGGGAGGAGGGGGAGGAGGCGAGAGAAAGGAGGCGGGAGAACGCGGGGCGCTGTCTCTTCAAAGCGATGACCCAACACCATAGGATGGTTGGGAATAAAGGTTTGCTGACATGTGTGGGCCTGAGTCCCGAGGAAGTATCGACAGAGAGCCTCGTTACTGAGCAAACTTTTTTTTTCTCGAGCGGGAGCCTCGTCTGTGAGCGCATGTCGAGGACGTCTCGAGCGGGAACCTCCCGATGGGGTCCTCAGTTCACGTTGGTAATCCGAGGTCTCTGTACTTCGAGGCGGCCATCTTCAACCAATCAGCCATCCTCAATCAACCAGCAGATGCCAGAGAGGAAGAGAGCCTCCGTGGTCAAGGACGACGATGCGCATTGATTCCAGATTCGTTTGGAAGATTTTCATGTTGGGTCCATCCGTCGGGGTAATTTAATTTGGGCTGGTGGGCGCAGCATTCCAGACATTTGGCAAATGCTCGAAGATGCCACTGCCACCGCTTCGCTGCTTCAGCAATCTATTGTTTCGCACATTGGCAGTGGCACCCATGGTCGGTCGTTCGATTTTCCCCTGGGTCCATCGTTTTTATTGCCTCTGGTGGCATCGTCGTGGCAGGGTCGTTGGACGTGGTAAGAGACCCCGTTGCGTCTGGTGCCTCGCAATCCTCCCCCCGGCTCCTGCTTCATCGCAGTTTTTCTTTTGTTGTTCCCGATGTTGATGCATGTCGCCCTCATTGGGCCCCTGCAGTTCTGCTCGGAGAGCCGCGACGCCGAGCATCCAAGCGAGGGAGACGCTGAGTCGCGGAAGGGGGGGACAGGCGCCGCCTTCAGGCTTCAATCCGAGTGCCCGCCTTCTCCTGCTTTACTCATGCGTTCTCCTTCCCCCATTCCCCCTTGGCGGGCATGATGGGCGGTCCGCCTGTCACGCCCCTCGAGTTTTCACGCAACCAGATTTCCCCTCGGGGCGGAGACGAATGGTTTTGTTGCAGAATGGGGCTCCCAGCTGTCTCGCCCATGCCTGGCCCTATCCCCAGCAGCACCCCCCGCGCGGCGCAGCGCGCCGCGTCTGTCCCCGCCAGGCGCGATGGCGCCTCTCAGTCTCTCGCCGGCGCTGCGGCTGTGCCCCGGCCGATGGCCCGACAGCAGCAGCAGCGGCTCCGCGTACCGCTGCGTTTGGAGGGGTGGCCGCGCGTGCTTTCAGAAGGAGTCCCCAGAGGATCGGATATTCTCATAGGTTTCGGCTTCGACAGGGGTGTATGGGGCCCGGACGACAATTGGCGCCCATACTCAGTGACTGTCATCCGGAATATTGTCAGCCTTGTCAAGACTGGAACCAAAGTAGTTGCATGGGTTAAATTTGAACCCAGTTGGGTCATCGACATTTTTTTGGTTTTGGACCTGGGAAATCTATCATGTCAGTTTTTCTTCAATGAACGTCCCTGATCTGTTGGCTTGGTTCGAGCCGTCGGAGTTCAGGGTCTGGTGCGGCTGGCACCTCTGCCCCGGCCCGTCCTCCGTCGCCGCAGCCGCAGCCGGTGCTGCCGCGGGCGCCGCCGCCGCCCCCGCCGCCTCTGCCAGCGTCCTCCGTGCCAGCTGCCGCTGGGAGGTGGCGCGCGAGCTGTTCCCGCGCGTGCTGGAGGACTGCCCTCGCAGCCAGGAGGCGCCGCGCCGCTAGCATCGGGCACCCCTTCCCCTCCTCTATGAATAGCATGACCTCCGAAGAAATGAGTTCTGAGATTTCTCGCCGTGCTGTCCCCCCCCAGAGCCTCTCCCAGCTCCACGCCTCGGGAACATCGGAAAACAGTGTCGGCGGCGTTTCAGTGTGAGCGGGTTCTGTCGTTGGGGACGTGGTTTCACATGTCATCGAGGCCTTGTCAGTTTGCAGGGAGGTGTCGGTGAGGGTTTTTTGGGGATTTGGAGTGCCGTCGGACGCGACGGAGGTTGCGGCCATTCTTCAAACAGGGCTTGCGCTAAGGGGTTTGTATTTCCTCTTGGTGTAGCTCTCCTGGTATGCTGAAGCCGCCTTCCCGTGGGGATCCCGTAGATGTCGCCCTGGGGCTTGTTGGGGCCATTGTGCTATCGAATGCGGGTTATTTCATCGATTGGCAGAATTTTTTTGGAGTATTTTTGGAATCGTCGGGGGGCCATCTTGGGCTGTCCTGCATCCTTACCCTGCTTGTTCCATGCGGGTGGCCTCGGCTGTGCCCTGCAGCCTTCCAGTCGGCCTGGCCGTGTCCGATCGGTGGTCGTAGCGAGGACCTTCCCGCGGCGCGCGCCTGCCTTGCCAGGCCCGCCTCGATCTCGCCGCGGAGTGCTGGGAACGCGGAGGTCGTGCGGGCGACGTCGAGGGCGCTGGCCTGTACGTGGCGGCCTGCCTGGTGGGCACGGGGCAAAACGAAACGTCATGCCCCCCTCAGGAGGAACCTGGAAAGAAAGGAGGGGAGAGGTGTACAAAGTAGGAGGAGGAGGAGGAGGAGGAGGAGGAGGAGGAGGAGGAGGCGGAGGCGGAGGCGGAGGCGGAGGAGGAGGAGGAGGGAGGAGGAGGAGGAGGAGGAGGAGGAGGAGGAGGAGGAGGAGGAGGAGGAGGAGGAGGAGGGGAGGGGGAGGAGGCGGAGGCGGCGGAGGAGGTGGAGGAGGCGGAGGAAGAGGAGGAGGAGGCGGAGGCGGAGGAGGAAGAGGCGGAGGATGTGGAAGAAAAGGAGGAGGAGGAGGAGGAAGAGGAGGAGGAGGAGGAATACTAATACGAATAATAACAAGAACATCTGAAGAATAAGAATATGTTTCATACTACTAATACGACTAATAATACTATTACAAAGAAGAATCAGACGAATAATAATACGAATAGTGCTTATCTTTCTACTAATAGTATTAATATTAAGAAGATGATTAATACTACCAGTACGAACAATAATACGACGAGCACGACTCATAAGACGAACACCACGACGAACGCGAACACTACTAATACTACGCATACGAAGAATAGTGATCATACTAAGAAGCGTGCTAATACTACGCATACGAAATGAAAATACGGAACGTAAAACAAAGAACCATAATAATGATAATACGAAGCATACGAAGAATACTGCTACTAATAAGAAGCATACGAATGATACTACTAATAATAACAATAAGACGAAACGTATTTATCATACGACGAATAATACGAGGACGAATACTAAGACGGAGAAGAATACGAGGAGGAGGAGAAGGCGTAGGATGATGAATCAGGGGGAGGAGGAGGAGGCGGAGGAGGACGAGGAGGAAGAGGAGCCATAACAACACTATGATGATGATGAGGATGATACTGAGGAGGATGATGATGATGAGGATTATGCTGAGGATGACGAGGATGATGAGGACGACGAAGATGAGGATGATGCTGATGCTGCTGATGATGATGACGATGATGATGCTGCTGTTGCTGATGATGAGGATGATGAAGCTGATGATGAGGATGATGATCATGATGATGCTGATGCTGATGCTGCTGCTGCTGTTGCTGCTGATGATGATGATGATGATGATGATGATGATAATGCTGAGGATGCTGACGACGCTGATGATGACGATGGAAATGCTGCTGATGATGATGATGATGCTGCTGATGATTCTGCTGATGATGCTGATGATGATGATGCTGATGATGATGCTGATGATGATGATGATGAGGAGGATCAGGAGGAGGAGGGGGAGGAGGAGGATGATAATGATGAGGATGAGGATGATGAGGATGAGGATTTGGATTAGGATGAGGATGAGGCGGGGAAGGAGACGGAGGAGGAGGAGGCGGCGGCGGAGGCGGATGAGGCGGAGGAGGAGTATGAGGAGGAGGAGGAGGAGGAGGAGGAGGCGGCAGAGGGAGGAAGAGAGGAGGATGATGATGAGGAGGAGGAGGAGGAGGAGGAGGAGGAGAGAGGATGATGATGATGAGAGAGGAGGAGGAGGCGGCAGAGGAGGCGGAGGAGGTGGAGGAGGCGGAGGAGGTGGAAGAGGAGAAGGACGAGGAGGAGGAGGAGGAGGAGGAGGAGGAGGAGGAGGGGGATGAGGAGGCGTAGGAGGAGGAGGAGGATGAGGAGGATGATGATGAGGAGGAGGAGGAGGATGCTGATGATGGTGCTGCTGCTGATCATGATCATGATCATGATGATGATGATGGTGATGATGATGATGATGATGATGATGATGATGATGATGATGATGATGATGCTGATGCTGATGCTGATGCTGATGATGATGATGATGGTGATGATGCTGATGATGATGATGATGATGATGGTAGGGGTGATGATGCTGCTGATGATGAGGAGGAGGAGGAGGACGAGGAGGAGGATGATAATGAGGATGAAACTGATGAGGACGACGAAGATGATGAGGATGAGGAGGATGATGATGATGAGGCGGATGGTGATGGTGATGCTGATTGTGAGGATGATGATGATGATGAGGCTGCTGCTGATGACTTTGATGATGCTGATGATGATGATGACATGTTGATGGCATGATGATGACGATGCTAATGGAGATGATGACGATGATGACGGCGATGATGAGGATCCTGTTTTTGATGATGCTGATGATGATGACGATGGTGGTGGTAATGGTGATGCTGATGACGATGCTGATGATGATGCTGCCGATGCTGCGGATGATGATGAGGAGGATGAGGATGAGGAGGATTCTCGTGATGATGATGATGCTGTTGCTGATGATGATGATGATGATGATGATGATGGTGGGGATGATGATGATGCTGCTGCTGTTGATTATGATGACTATGATGATGATGATGATGATGATGATGATGATGTTGATGATGATGATGATGATGATGATGATGCTGATGATGATGATGATGGTGATGATGATGATGCTGATCAGGATTTTGATGATGATGCTGCTGCTGATGATGATGCTGATGCTGTTGTTGATGATGATTCTGGTGGTGGTGGTGATGATGATGATGATGATGCTGATGATGATGATGATGATGCTGATGATGATGATGCTGATGATGATGATGATGATGATGATGATGATGATGATGATGATGATGATGATGATGATGATGATGATGATGATGATGATGATGATGATGATGATGATGATGCTGATGATGCTGATGCTGATGATATGATGATGATGATGCTGATGCTGATGATTCTGCTGATGCTGATGCTGATGCTGATGCTGCTGATGATGATGATGATGATGATGATGATGATGATGATGATGATGATGATGATGATGTGATGATGTGATGATGATGATGATGATGATGGTGCTGGTGATGGTGATGGTGGTGGCGGTGATGACGAGGATTGGAGATTGTTTATCGTGTTGGCCTGGCAATTTGTGGAGCCGCAACCGTTGGATCAATCCAGCCGCGCGAGCCTGGGGTTCGTCCATGGAGTGGGCGAGGGCCGCCGCGGCGGGCGCAGGCGGCTTGGCGCACCTGGGGAGCCTCTGGTACGGCCAGCGGTGCACTTGCCAGGTGGACCTCGGCGAGGGGTTCTCGGTGGACCGCGAGCTGCTGCGCCTGCTGGAGGGGCTGCTGCAGCGGTGCGGCCCCGCCAACCTCACGGTCCCCGCGCCGTGCGTGCCGCCCGTGTGCTCGGGCCACCAGGGCCTGGTGGTGCTGCTGCTCGCGGTGCTGGCATTCCTGGCGGGCTTCTGCGCCGCGGCGACCTGCTGCTGGTGGTGGCTGCACCGCGGGGAGGCGGCCGTGCATGACAGCATCTGCCTGCCTGAGGTTCCCGATGGCCGCTCCTCTTCGTCAGGGCCAGCGGGTGCTCGTCTCCTACGACGTGGACCCGCGCGAGCTGCTGTGGCATGAGCGGCTCTTGTGCGCGCGCGTGCACGACGGCGCGTGGGTGGTCGCCACCCTGGAGCGCGACATGTACCTGGAGGACCTTCAGGAGGGGATCGAGAGTCTGGTGCTGCTTGGCCCGATGGGCGGGCTGCCGATCGGCTGGAGCCGCGGGCCGACGCACATGTTCCGCGGCTCGTCGCAGGGCCCGCTGCATCGCGCGGAGAGCTTGCGAGCTTGCGCCTGCAGGCAGAGGGCGCGGAGCTGGCGGAGCAGGAGCGGCACGACCTTGGCCCAGGCGCTGCTCGGCCGCTGCCCCACCCCGCAGGCGCGCCGCTGCCGTTGGCGCTGGAGGACGAGCCACCGGCTGAAGAGGGGGAGCGGCGCTACTCCGAGGGCCGCGGCAGGGCGCGCGTGGGCGAGCGCGTGGGTGCCGCGGAGCTGGAGGCTGGGTGTCGTCGCGGCGATCGCGGAGTAGTCCAGGTGGGGGGCCTCTTTGTTGCGTGCTCCTTCTTCAGGCCAGGCGAGCAGATGCCGACGCCTAGAGGAGGGGCCGCGATAGAGGAGCCGCCCAGTGAACTGCGGACGCTCCCCGTGAAGTGCGAGAAGTCGAGCCAGCGGCACCGCTCATGCAAGGAGGCCGCGTCGCTCACCACCACCACGGCTTTCGATGATTGGCCGATCAGCGGGCCGCGGACGGCGGAGTGGCTCTCGCGCGAGATCGCCCGCGAGGAGCTGACGCCGGTGCGGTGGCACTTCTGGTGGCGGCAGCTGCTGGGCTTGGGCCCCAGCGATTGGGGCGTCGGAGAGCACGAGGCCCTCGGCCGGCTCTTCGAGTACGCCCTGACGTACGACCAGCTCAACTCTGGTGAGTTGGCCTCGCCGGAGCTCGCGGGGCGTCGCAGCCAGCTGCTGGAGGAGAGGTGCGCCCGGATGCTGGTCTCGGGGGCGTCGGGCGGTGACAGCGGCCACCTCGACAGCGACGGGCTCTTCATGGGCGAGGAGGGCCGGCGCGGGCGCGCTCTGGTGGCGCCGGCGCTGGAGACCTGGATATCGCAGAAGCTGGTGGAGGAGAGCGCCGTGCTCAAGGAGCGCCGCAAGGCGATGGGGGAGCGGCAATTGGCTCGCTCGACAGACGTGACCCCCGGCGCCTCAAGCGGGCCGAACGACGACGAGCCCCCCAAGAACCCGCGCAAGAAAGGCGGCGGGCAGGGGGGGGGAGCTGCTTGAGCTGGCTCGGACGGCGGAGGCCCCCAGCCGTCGTCCGAGCTGCGTTGGGGAGGGCTGCTCGCTTGAGGGGGATGGCGAGGCGCCTTGGCGTTGCAGGTGAGCGCCTTGACTGGGCTCGCGATTTGCTGCCGCTGCAATCTGGTCGCTGCCTGGCTGATCTCCTGGAGGGTTCATCGCCGGCGGGGCTGGGTGTTTCGCGCTGCGCGGATCGGCGGCGCTCGCGCCGACGGGCTGCGGAGGCGTGGCTGCAGGGCGGCGTCGCGACGCTCAACGCTCTGGGCAGGCGCGGTGAGGTGTGGGGCCCCAAAGTGATGCCTGGTGCCATTCAGCGCC